TGGCCACCCCCCCCCACATGACCAGCCATGGTTCAAGTCCCAGACCTGGTGGCTTACTTTCTTACTCTCTCTCTCTCTCTCTCTGGTCAAATTAAAATAAATAAATCATTCTTTAAAAAATCTTTTTCCAGTGTCTTTTGTCTCTAGAGGAGACCCCTCTTTTCTTACCCGAAACACCATAGTCCGGGCTGCATTACCAATTCCATTTCACCTATAATGGCGGGAAGGCGGGAGAGCAGCTACAAGGTGCATACGGCTAAGGATAACCACAGGGGCTTTATGCCACTTGTCTGACGTGACACAGTCCTACCAGAGGCTGCCTGGTGAATTTCCCCGTTGACTCTCCAAACCTTCAGATGGAGTCCTTCTGGTTACCTCATCATGTGTTTACCTTCCGGTCTAAGGTCAACTGTTGAATTGATCCATTTTGGTCTACAAAGGATCAAAGTTCTTTATTGATGAGCCCCCAACACACCCCTTTTGGTTTCTGATAAAAACTACTCTCCTGCTCCGGTGGTGGATATGGTAAACAGTGTAATTTGATTTTTTTAAATATAATTTACTAGAGGACATATGTGTGATTCAGAGAAAGATACAGAGATGGTCACACTACAATCCCTTATCCTCCATTTCTCCTTTTAGGACTTTGAGCACCCATGCACATACATTCAGCATGATTTACAAACTGCAGTGTCCAAGATTCGAACCACCCATTCAGCCATGTGGGATCCAGTTGCCTAACCACCATGCTGCCAGCTGGCTTTCATTTGATCATTACACATTGTTTACATGTATCAAAACATCATGCTGAACCCCATAAAATATGTTATGCATCAGTTTAAAGATAGAAATTTGGGCCTGGCTCCATGGCATAGGGGTAAAGTACTTTTCAAAAGAAGCTGAATGTGGGACCAGCAGTTAGCGTAATGGCTATGTCACTGGACTCCTACGTAGTCAACCGTGGTTCGCATCCTGGACCCGGTGGCTTAAACTCACGCCGGGTGCATGTGCGTGTGTGCCCAAGATCCCAAGAGGAGAATGGAGAAGAAGGGATGGTGGCATAGCCATCCCCCTGGGGGGTGATTTCTCACTTTCTGTCTCTCTGTCTCTGTCTGTCTGGCGAGCACACGCACCCTATAGCAAAAGCCCCTAAATTAAAAAAAAAAAATGCTAAATCCCACATGGTGACCACAGTTTGAATACATGGCTTGGTCAGCCTGAAACACACGAGGCATGAGCGTGAGTGTTCAAGATCCAACATGGCGGAGGACTGGAGAATGCAGCGTGACCAGACCCTGCACAGGTGCATATCTCCCTCTCTCTACCTCAGCCCTCACTCTCATGTGAGCAAGCTTGAACCCAATTATGAAAAAAGGGGAAAAAATTAAACATAGACATGGGGGGAAATTTAAAAGCTACTCTACTGAAAGCAACATGTCACACCAAACAGGTCAGAGTCCCCATTATGTTCTCAATCCTCCTCTTTCTTAGTACAAGTGCCACTCTAACATAGTACTCCTGTCCTCAGTTTTAAAAATAGGAAGTCTTGGGACCAGCAGTTAGCGTAATGGCTATGTCCCTATTCTGTAGTAATTTTTCACCATAAATCATCCTTTGCGAGGAAGAAGGGAGATTTGATGTTTCGTTCTTTGTTTCTTTAAGACAGTGTCTCCCCATTGGATTCTCCTGCCTATAGAATCCTCCTGTGATCCCTCCTGGGTTGCAAGGTGTGCTACTACGCTGAGCTCTCTCTTTTAGAAAGGGTCTCACTACACTGCCCATGCCAGCCTTGACCTCATGATCCCCTTCCTCAGCCTCCTGAATCACTGACATTACAGACACTCGCCATCACTCTGCCTTGTGATTGGCCCAACCATCAAACCTGGGCTCCCATATGGCCCCAACCTGGTGAGTCACAGTGGCTGAACCGTGCACGCCACCACAGCTGGGCCAGGAGGACATGTTCTTCACTTTCCTTCTACTAGAAAACACAAGGGACATTTGGGTTGGTTCCAAGTCTTAGCTACTATGAATAATATCTCAATAAATATGAATTTGCAAGTGTTTTTCTGACTGCGTGTCTTCTGATCCTTTGAGGTGATTCCCAGGAGTGGAATTGCTGAGTCGGATGGTAGTTCTATTTGCAGGGCTTTGAGGAACCTCTGCAGGGTTTTCCACAGTGGCTGTGAGGAGGGTGGGATATTACGCTAACTGCTGGTCCCTATTCTGTAGTAATTTTTCACCATAAATCATCCTTTGCGAGGAAGAAGGGAGATTTGATGTTTCGTTCTTTGTTTCTTTAAGACAGTGTCTCCCCATTGGATTCTCCTGCCTATAGAATCCTCCTGTGATCCCTGCTGGGTTGCAAGGTGTGCTACTATGCTGGGCTCCCTTTTTTAGAAAGGGTCTCACTACATTGCCTAGGCCAGCCTTGACCTCATGATCCCCTTCCTCAGCCTCCTGAATCACTGAGATTACAGACACTCACCATCACTCTTGGCCTTGTGATTGGCCCAACCATCAAACCTGGGCTCCCATATGGCCCCAACCTGGTGAGTCACAGTGGCTGAACCGTGCACGCCACCACAGCTGGGCCAGGAGGACATGTTCTTCACTTTCCTTCTACTAGAAAACACAAGGGACATTTGGGTTGGTTCCAAGTCTTAGTTACTGTGAATAGTATCTCAATAAATATGAATTTGCAAGTGTTTTTCTGACTGCGTGTCTTCTGATCCTTTGAGGTGATTCCCAGGAGTGGAATTGCTGAGTCGGATGGTAGTTCTATTTGCAGGGCTTTGAGGAACCTCTACAGCGTTTTCCACAGTGGCTGTGAGGAGGGTGGGAAATGGCAGAGGGTGAGAGGGAGGGAAGCAAGGGGGAAAAAGGAAGTAAAATAAATTTTAAAAACACAATAAATAAATATAAACAGAAAAGAAAATACAAGGGAGAGTCCTCAGGTCCATGCTTACTAAAGATTTTCAGCGATAACATGTTGGTACAGAGTTCAACTCACAGAAGACTTGGTTGCCTAACATGGTTGATTAACTCCACCAGGAGTTTGGGGGTTGCCCTGCCTATGGGCTAGCTTTTCTATCTTCCCTTCAGGTCACAGTTCTGCTCCTCTCAGAGGAAGAACAATAACGTCCCCCGTCTCCTCACATGGCTGCTCTAGCTAGGGAATAGTTCGCACTCTACACTTTCCTTAGTAAGCTTGCATTTGCTCTCCAAAACCAAACACAGGAGAGAGGAGAGGGTGCTGAATTTGTTTGGTTTTCCTTTTTGCCATAGTAAGCCATTATGCAAATTAGTATTAAAGGAAAACGGATTTTCAGCAAACATATTAAAACAGTTTATACTGAAAGACCTTAAACAGGGCCAGCCATGCAGTCTAGTGATTAAGGCAGCTACATCCTACACAGCTGGTGATGGCTTGATTCCCAGCCCCAATGACTTGAAAAAACACACAGAGCACATGTACATGCATACCCAGAATCCTGATAGGATGCAGAAATTGAGAAGGATTTGTGATGTGACCATAACCTATTAGGGGTGCTTCCCCCATCCCTGTCTCTCTGTGTCTCTCTGGCAAGTATATACACACTCTGGCAATTAAAAAAAGGGGAAGCAGCAGGTGGTGTGGTGGTTAAGGTGCTGGACTCCCACATGGCCCACCATAGTTCAAGTTCCAGACCTGGCGGCTTGTTTTCTCATTTTCTCTTTCTTATCTCTCTCTCTCTCTCTCTCTCTCTTTCTCTGTCTCTCTCTTTCTCTGTCTCTTTCAGGTCAAACTTTAAAAAATAATAATGATGAATAATATTAAATTAATTCATTATTTAAGAAAAGATTGTAAACAGCCAATTCTAAATGGACTTCTCAATGAGGCTCCCATATGTTTAGAGTTTCAAAAGCAAAGCATGGTGCCTTGTGTTGATGATCTCATGCTAATCCACAACAGGCAGTGACTCTCCGTTGGGAGAAAATAGGAAAACGGACTTCCTTCTTGTCATGACAAGCAGCCCTTGACTTAGCAGCTCTCTCCTTCTAGGACCCTTCTATGGTTCTGAGGTCTTGATGGAGAATAAGGGGAATCAGACAGAATTCCATTATAAACATGCTTTATTGTAGATAGTGAAGACTGAGAAGATAAAGTAAATGGAATTTGAACAGGTAAAGAGGAAACAAAAAATAAATGTATCCTTGTAGAAGAGTATGCAAATCATTATAACATGGGAATTCAGGGGAGAGGACCCCACAGACTCAGTCAATGACTGAATGACCAACATAGTTCAGTGGTCAAACTTCATCTCGAGTCAAAGACTGTTAAATGCATACTCAGATCTTCTCTCAGCCATGGTGAAATAATGAACGTACAGTGAGGAACCGACAGCGGTGGGCTGGTGCTACCCCTTAGACAGCCCAAGGCATGTGTATGGGTTAGTCCTTACTGGGGCTACCATTGTCCTGCATAGTCTTCCTTATCCAGTCAACATAATTCTGTACCCGTGTGTAGATCCCGTAGGTCCCACACTGAAATCCAAAGGACATCAGGCCAGCTGCATAATATTTGGGGTCCTCTTCATTGGGGTCCTGTACAGCAAAAGCCCCACCAGCGTCCCCTTGACAGCTATCAACACCCTTCTCTCCGCCAGCACAGATCATGTTATGAGTAAAAACAAAGCTACTTACATCCACTCTGGAATCTTTCCCTTTCCACTCTTGGCACTTTGCTAAAGGAGCTACAGGTAACTTGGCTGCTCTGAGCTTAATAACAATGTCTCTAAGCTCTGATTTGCCCCAGCCTGAGATTATTCCTAAGGTACCCACTGAAGGGCTGTATTCTGAGGAGGAGCCTGGCAGGCAGATGGGAGAGACGCTGGGTCCCATTTTCACTGGCTCTTTCAGTTGCACCAGCGCAATGTCATTGTCAAAATTCGTCCTTATGTCTGTATTATCCAGCACTTGCCAGCCCGGATGAATGAACACACGCTCGGCAGTGAGCATCTGGGCTTTGAGCAGCTTCGAGGTCTGCACCGAAGAGGATCCAACGTACATCACTGGATTTTGGTTTCCCTCCACAACATGAGCAGCCGTCAGCACCCAGTACTCATCAATGAGGGCCCCACCAGCCCGTGGGTTGGAAAAGAAGACTTGCCAGGGGAAGTGTTCAATCTTTGCCGTGATCCCTCCAAATATTCTCTGTACTCCTTTTAAGAGTTCACTAGGGACTCCACAGACTAGGAAGGAAGAAGAACAGGTGGAAGAAGCAAGAAGCAATGCAAGGGACCAGCAGTTAGCATAATGGATATGTTGCTGGACTCCCATGTGGTCGACCATGGTTCACATCCTGGACTCGGTGGCTTAAAACTCACGCCGGGCACGTGTGCGTGAGTGCCCAAGATCCCAAGAGGAGAACTGAGGATAAGGGATTGTGACATGGCCATCCCCCCTGGGTGTGATTTCTTGCTTTCTGTCTCTTTGTCTCTCTCTGTCTGTCTGGCTAGCACACGCGCCCTGTAGCAAAAACCTCTCCAAAACAAAGAAGCGATGCAAGCCTTTGCAGCTCCTCCACCCTCTCAGATGCTGGGCTCCAGCAGCTTCTGATCTAGTGTCTCACATTACCCCTAGAATGACCCAAAGCCCCACTAGAGGCAACCCCCTGAGGCTCAGCACATGAGGCCCATGACCAGACAGTACGGAGGGGGTTCCTTTCTTTGGCCTTGATTCTCACTCCCCTCCACTGGTCACAGGAGTGACCGCTTTGCCAGTTCCCAGGATAACCGACTCACAGAGGAGGTGGGCGTACCTAAGTCCTCACTGGACAGCCTGGATGGATCCTGAGTCGGGCTTAAAGGACTTGGGACTCAGACAGACCTGGGGTCAAAGACTGTCCCTGCCACTTCCTAACTCTGCAAACTGGCACTCAACTCACTCAGCTGCAGAGTGGGATGACTGACCGCAGGGCTGTTACGAGGACGTGAATGAGACAATAAAGGCTCTAATGACCTGTCGTCACTACCAGGACCTCGGTATGTTTACGCGTGTGCCCTAGTGCCACCCCCTACTCTGCTCTGACATCCCCTCAACCCTCGTGTCTTTTCTTCCCCTTCATCTTGCTGCCATGCTGACTTTTCATGTAGTAACTCGGCTCTTACTAGACCTTTGTCCCCTTGCTACATCTCCAGAACCAGACCCAGGTACCCCAACCCCGGCACCAGCTGGAACAGGCTGACTCACCTATCTCCATTCTCAGCCTGAGTCACTGCAGGTAAGGCAGTTCCCCAAACCTCAGCAGGCCCACAGCCCAGTGACACCACCACCTCACGGAGATGCACGCAGGGAGGACCACACTGTCCTGTCCTTCCCCAGGGGATTCCTGCTACTCTCAGAGGTGACGCCCACTTCCACTCACGTGACCTGAACTTGGTCTCTGCCCACCCTGTGCCCTGATTACCTGGAACACATTTCGGCAGCTCTGTGCCCAGCACCTCGTTCACCCAGGTTCCGTTAGCAGAGCAGCGATACTCCCCTGGAAGGGCACAGGGGCACAGGTCACACCCCCACACCTGCCCTCTTCCATCCCCTGTCACTCAGAGCCTCGGCTCCGCACAGGTGCGTGGGAGACCACGGGTCTTGTTCTCCCCAAATAATATCTCAGGCTTCCATCCCACCAAGGGAGGGGGAGGAAAGTCTCCAAAGCAAAAAGGAGAGGGTTATGGTGGAGATAGCAAAGTGCCTCTGGTGGGAAATGTAAACAAACTCAAGGAAAATAAAAAGCGCTATGGTGGGACATATTGCATCTCTTCCAGGTCTTTGCACCTCATTGCCAAGACCTCTACATCAAGAAAGCCAGTCATTATAGCATGGTGACTTAGAGCTAGGAGTGTCACTTCTGCAAGTTTACATGAAATAATGGTCAAGATTAAATAGCCATAAAAAATGGGCATTGTGGAGCAGGCAGGTGGCATGGTTCATGCACTGGAATCCTACATGGCTGACCATGGTTTGAGTCCCAGACCTGGCGGCATGAAAATCACACCATGCACGAGTGCATGCATGCCCACAGTCCTGAAAAGGATGGAGGAGGAGGGACTGAAGTATGGCCATCCCCAGGTGAGTGACTTCTCTCTTTCCACTCTGTCTCCCTCTGGCAAGCACTGGTTTTGTCCCTATGGCAAAAACCAAACAGAAAAAGGAAAAGGAAATGGATATTGTACAGGAATTCCTGTTGTACCTGCGAAGCTGAGCTGATGACCTCTAAGGTTTCTCAAGAACGATTCTAGAAAACCCACCCCACCCCATAGGAAATTATATCCATAGACTAAGCCAAGAGAATGAACCATGTCACCCCCTTTCCTCATTTCTCTCCAAACTCCAACCCAGAAAGATGGTGCTATTCACTTCCCAAGATGTTCTTACTCTTTTCTCTCTCTTTTCTCTAGCAGAAGAAACCCACCTCCTCTTTCATCTTCCATGGCGTAATATTTCTCTTCACACGTGTAGTGAGTGACAGAGCCAAATAAGGTACTTTCTGGATTCTCAACTTTACCATTCGGAATAGATTCAGGAGCACCACAGTCCACAGCTACAAGAGAAAGGCAGGATACTGATGACAGGACAGTGGCCTCCTCCCAGGAAGAGTCCTGGGTCGATTCCAGCCTCGGTCCTTCCCCACCTCGTCCTCACAACCACCCTGGGATAAATCTGCCCACAGCAGCCTGTCGGTACCGTCTCCCCCACTGGCATCATGTAAACTCTCCAGAATACCGAGATTCCCGATTTGGAAGGCCCCTTACAGCTACAACTAAGAACCTGATGCTCAGTGGTTTGCTGAAGCCCATGGGAAGCCAGAAAGAAGCCACACGGGGCTCTTCACTCTGCAAATCCCACACCCCCTGTTGTAGGAAGAATCTTGCCAGTCTAGCTTGCCTGCACGAGAGCCGGACTAACACTAGAAAAGCATCCATGACTGGCTTCCCTTCAAAAACCCAACCTACTCTCCCACAAGCCTCAGAGAAAACTATGTATTTAAATTTTCATGTGCTGATCTTTGAAATCTCTTTGGAAGGAAAAAGAGATCCACTTTGAAGAGAAACATACGTTGACATTTCAGTTTGGAATGGCTCCACTTTCCATTGCTTTGACAAGTAGAATAGAAAAAGGTTGAACCAACTTTTCCCTGAAAAATAATGGACATCACCATTAGAACATAAAGAAGTATATGAGAGATCACAAGTGAAAAAAAATCAATTTTGGCTTTGGTTCAATGAAAAGAAGAACAAGAAGCTGAGACATCTTAGAAGAACAACCTAGTTGCTGGGGCCAGGGGACAGTTCCCTTTGACCAGGAAGACTACGGGCAGGAAGAGAATGCCAGACCAGCCAAGGAGCTCCGGGACTCACAGGAAACACTAAAGATCTCGGACCGTTCTGCTTATGGGAAAGCTATAAATATCTGGATCAGGCAAGCACAGGAGGTAAATGACGAGACAATTTCACGAGCTCGTCCTGATCTGGGGTAAGGGACAAGGGACAAAACCAGAGGCTACTTTACCTCCACAACTTCAAACCCATCCACACAGGAAATCTTCACCACGTCTTTGTACACGTATTTTGCCCTCTCTGGCTCCCAGATAGAATTGGCAGTGACTTCCTTAGGACAGGGGATTGCTGGGAAAGGACAAAAGCAGGGACAGGAAAAAGTTAACCATTGGAGATTCTGTTCTAGCTACATCATTGTCATACTGGCCAAACCGCTTGGTTGTCCTCAGTCCCGATGCCTAGCATCCCAATATGGCAGGTCTCAGATGTAACATAGTATATTAACAATTACCCCCAAATCACCGCATCCGTGGGTCTAGCTGAAGGGTTACTAGAGGTTGGAGCACTGGAAGAAGCACGGACAGACGTAGATCTTCCTGAGGAATTGAGTATCTGAGGATTCTGTCCGTACAACAACCCACCTGCTTTGGCTCCACGTTGACCAGGGGCTTTGGAATCACCCATCAAAGAGGCATTTCTAGGTTACTCACGATCTCCATGGTACCGGAGTTTCCAGCCCTTTTTCTGCCCTGTCAGGTCGGTTTGGAAGATGATGCCAACGGCGTTACTCTGGGTTTCAATACTTAGAGGCCCAGGGAATCCACTACCACAGTAAGGACCAAATTGCTGATCTCCTGCAACAAACTGGAGGGAAACAAAATGAGAAAATCACAAGATAAAAACAAATAAAGGAAGTTTAAAAATGGAGGAAATAAAAAAAAAAGAAAAGAATAAATGTAATGTTTTAAGAAGAAGAAAGATAAATAAAGGTAGAAGAAATTTTATTTTGTCTTCAATAAGAATTTCATGTGAGTCAGGGTGGGTGGGAATTAACCATGTCTCACGCACAATCAAACTGTCAGGGCAGTTCCCCTCTGAATCGGCTGGTTCCACATCAAAATCTTCTCTCCGCATAGTCACCACCACTTGGAAGCCCTCCTCCAGCAGGATCTGGTATTCACACCTTGAGTTCTCCGGGTATGGGTTGGGATAATTGGGACTTGCAATCTCCCCAACCATCGTAGTGAACACGTCCCCACTGCAATTGACTGGGGGAGAAAAAGAGAAAGAGGAATCAAATACAGGGCCATGGGACCAGCAGTTAGTGTAATGGCTATGTCGCTGGACTCCCACGTAGTCGACCACGGTTCGAGTCCTGGACCCGGTTGCTTAAACTCACACCAGACATGTGTGCGTGCGTGCCCAAGATCCCAAGAGGAGAATGGAGGAGAAGGGATTGCGGCATGGCCATCCCCCCTGGGGGATGGTTAAGAACAGTCCCAGGTCGACTCCTGACGGCCACATGTCTGTCTCTCTTCCCCAGCTGACTGACTTTTTCCTGTAGACTCAGCTTCCTCCCAGCCTCCTCAGTTTTGGGGTAAGCTAGAATAGGATGCAAGTGAAGGTTGTGCCTCGTCAAAACGGGAAGGATGGACAAAGCCCTTTCTGAGGCTTCAATCCACTTCAAGCCCCAGGGAACATAAACCTATCTTGATACCACACTCACCTCCACAATTTCTCATATCGTCATGGAGAAAGTACTCTGGGGGACAGGAGCAGAAGTAACCCCCCATGAAGTTGTTGCAGAAGTGGCTACAAGGGGCATCTGCAAAGTCTGTGCACTCATTCACATCTACCAAGAGAAGAGAAAGTCCGAGGTCAAGGCCACAGGCACAGAGAAGAAACGGGTACCCCACACGGGAAGGGCAAGAGTAAGTAGGAAGGCCTTGCTGCTTACACCCTCAACGAGCCCATTTCAGGACAGCCTCATCTACACGACTCTCCTGGTCTATCATTCCGGAGTGTGCCCTCCCACGGCACGGCTCTGAGGGGGCTTTCAATGACAGGGACCCTTGGTTTCTCTTGCATTGAGAGCATTTCAGCTCCAGAGACCGCACTCTGCAGGATGACCATCACAATGAGTGTGAATCACGAGCACACTCACTCAGTACAAAGCTGGTGCCTCTGCCGTGTCTGAAGAGCAGTCTGGACTTATGAGATGTTTTCACTTCATTTTCAATTAGAGGTAGAGACAGAGGCACCCAGAACTGGAAGGGTCAAACACCACACGGCGAATAGGTTTGAATACCACATCTTCCTCTGGTTTTCTATAGGGCATGTGTGCTCACTGGAAAGGGAGATATACAGAAAAACACTCCTCCCTCCAGAGGGGCAATTAGAGGTAGAGACAGAGGCACCCAGAACTGGAAGGCTCGAACACCACATGGTGAATAGATTTGAATACCACGTCTTCCTCTGGTTTTCTATAGGGCATGTGCTCACTGGAAAGGGAGATATACAGAAAAACACTCCTCCCTCCAGAGGGGATGGCCATACTGCAATTTCTTCTTCATTCTCCTCTCAGGATTTTGGGCGTGCACTCACACATGTCTGGTTTTTTAAGCCACTGGGCCTAGGACTCAAACGCACTCACACATGTCTGGTGTGTTTTTTAAGCCACTGGGCCTAGGACTCAAACTGTGAAGTTGGCCAAGGGGGGTCCAGTCTCACTAACCACCATGCCACCAGCTTGCCCTAAATATGGTACATGTCTCGTGTGATTCTAGGCAAGTTATTCACTATCCCAGTTCTCACTTACATATCTTTCTGTGGAGATAATAATCTCTCCCTTGAAGTGTTCAGGAGATGATTATGTTCACACAGTGACTGATACAGTGACTAATTTATAGTAGCTCCCAAGACTATTTACTATCTTTTTTTTTTTTTTTTGAGAGGGTTTTTTGTTTGTTTGTTTGTTTGTTTGCATTTTTTGCTATAGGGCACATGCACTCGCCAGACAGAGAGACAGAGAGATAGAATGCAAGAAATCATCCCCCAGGGGGGATGGCCACACCACAATCCTTTCTCCTCCATTCTCCTTCTGGGATCTTGGGCACGCACGCACATGCGCCCGGTGTGAGTTTAAGCCCCCGGGTCCAGGATGTGAACCACGGTCAACTACGTGGGAATCCAGTGACATAGCCATTACACCAACTGCTGGTCCCACTATTTATTATCTATTTATTATCTATTACCACCATTATCATCATCACCATGAAAATATGATTGATCATGTGTTTGAATTTTACCAAGGTGATTCACGGAGTGACCCAAGCCAAGTCACCACTTTGTAAAAGCTATAAGCACAATCTGCATTCAGTGCATTGGTTGGTATTTTTCCTGTGTGTGTGTAGCTACAGGGTACATGCTCTCCCGAGAGAGAGAAATAGGGAAACAGAAAGCACCCCCAGGTGGCACAGCCATACTACAAGCCCTTCTCCTCTACTTTCCATTCGGAATTTGGGGCACACACTCCTGCACCCAGTGTGTTCTTCAAGCTGTCAGGTCCAGGACTCAAACCATGCAGTCATCCCTGTGAGATGCAGCTGCCTTAACTGCCATGCCACCAGCTGGACCTTGCTCCTAATCTTTTAGTGGGACCAGTGAAGCCTCTACGTCATGGGGAGCCTTACCTACAGCAACGTAGTATGCTGCAAACCCAGTAAAGCGCTCTTCATTGGAGAAGTCTGACTTAAAAATCACCCGGAGTTTATTGTATGGGACTTGGAACTCTTCCACAACTGGGGAGTTGGGACTCTTGCTGGTCCTCTGTCCACAGAGTTTCCCTTCTTCAACGTCCCCTGACATTATCTATGAAGGGAGTTGGGAAGGTTAAAAGAATGGATGGGCGTGAAGGTGAGAGAAAAGAGACAGAAGGAGTGGAACAGCTCCAGGGACTACCTGACTGCAGTCACTGTGTGCCTGTGGCACAGCCTCCTACATCCTTCTCAGTCCACCACCCCGCCCTGGCCTTCCAGCTCCGTTTTCTTCCCTGAGCTTACAGTGTACCTGCACTGAGTCATAGGCACAGTTCTCGGACAGCTCCATGTCCAGGTGGGTGAAGTAGAGGTGGATCCCGTAGCCTTCGGGCACTTCGATATCCCAGGATTTCTCTATCTCATTGGGGTACACCTGAGGATAGTTAGGGGACAGGATCTCCCCGTACATGGTGGGTTCAGCACAGACCCGTGCCAAGAGGGAAAATAGGACAATGCACCTGAAAAAGACAAAAACAAAAAGGCATGGAGACATGTGTGCCAGGTACCCGCAGCCAAGGCAGAGCTCTGGCATCTGTCACAGGGAGAAGGAGGCCGTGGGGAGCAGAGGGGTACCCAGCAGGTAATGGAGGAGAATCTTAGACTGGAACAGAAAGGCCGGAGTCAAAACAAAAGCCGGGCTTCAGATCTGAGCCCTTGTCTTGAGAAGATGTAGGGATGGTGTCCAAGCCCACCTGTGTGGACCCTCACCACTCACCTCATCTCTGCCGACCTGTCCACCCCGGGCTGCTCTTGGTCCTGGCCGTCTGCACCTCTGGACTTTGGAGCTGAGCGGGCTGCAGGCCTGGCTGTACTGGTCTGACAAACACAGGCACCTGCTTTGGTGCTGGGGGGTCACCAGGGCACGGTGTCACCTTCGTAAGAACAGCGCACGGGTTAGTCAGAGCCAGATCACCACCGCCGTTTGGCTCTCACACCCCCTGGTCCCCCACGACTAGCTGTCGAGACTGGGACTGAACCTCGCTCTCCCCCACTGCTTCTCTGACCTTCTCTGAGTTCCCCCCAAAGGGAAGAGTCATTTCTCCCAGTTTCCTTCGTCCTCTGTTCTCCTGCGTCCCTCACCCCGACTCTACCAGTGTCTCCCCTGCCCTCACAGAACGATATCCCCATCTCCACGTGGAACTTGGGGTCTTGTTTGTTTTAATTTGCCAGAGGGCACATGCTCTCACCAGACGAGGCAGAGCGAGTGAGGGGAAAGAAAGCTTGCCGGTCCCTGCCATCCCTCCCCTCTACCCTCTGCTCAGGGTCCTGGGCAGGCAAGCACAGGCACTGATGCGTATTCGAGCTGCCGTTTCCAGAACTCAGACCACGCAGCCCACCACGTGGAATCCGGCTACCTCAACCACCTGGAGTCCCCAGGAGTCTCTGCCCATGGTGACCATCACCCTAGGACAAGTCTCTTCCTATTTCACAAAGAGCCCCCTGTCCCAGCCAGCCTCTCTGGGATGTTCATTCTTACGTTTATTTCTGCTGTTGCTCCCAAGGGCCATGATGGGATGAGCAGCTTGTAGCAGAGAACTGCAGACGGCTTGGAAGAAGTGGTCTAAAAAGGCCAGGGCCAGCCTCTCACACAGGGCCGTGTGGGGACAGCTGGGTGACAAGAAATGAAGAGGAAAGGAAAGGTAGGGAAGGAAATGCCCTCCATTAATTTTCCAGGATTTCTTTATGGAGTTTCCTTTTACTTCCTTTTTCCTTTACTAAAGAGACAAAACACCGTCCCACAATTTCTAGAAAACTCTTGCCAAGCTTGTTTTGAATCCTAAGAGCAAGACGGAGTGAAGTAGGGGATCAAGGTCAATCTGAGAAATAAATAGTTGTCAGTAGTCCAACTTTATTCTCCTCTTCGCAGCCCCCGTCTTTGCCCCAAACCTTCCCAGGTGAGTTTTCTGCCTTTCTTCTTTTCTCATCAAAACTCTGCTCTTCATTTTTAAGGTTTTACCTTCAAAGGCTGATGGGAGGCGCTCTCCTGCCAGGAGCTTGCTGGACGACACTGCAGGCTCCCAGGGCCGGCACCAGGCCTTGACGCTCCCTCTGCAGGAACCTCCAGCCAGCCTCCCTGCCCTGGTTCTGTTCTTCTGATCCCCTGTCTGTGTGTGCATGTCCGAAATCCCCTGATCTAAACAGAGAGGAGTCTGGGAGACCACGGCCTAGGGAAAGGGGAACTCAGCCTTGATCCTGGAGCTCCCTCTGCTTTTGAAACAAGAAATGCAGCCTCCTCCCAGGCTGAGATCCCTCCATCCCGGAGTACGGAGTACAAGGGAGAAAGAAGGAACAGGGGAATTACACCGATTGCCTAATGCCCTTTTTCAGCCAAAGGGTGTGTTTCAGAGTTTTCGGGGAAGTCAGGTGACTTGTGGAAAAAGGAGGAGATTGATACTGAGGGGAAGAAGCCAAACCCAGAAAGTCCAGCCCCCCAGCTATGTCCAAACCGTAAACAGAAAGAGTAGTATCTTAATAGGCTTTAACGTGAGTAGGTAGACGAGCCCTGAGTTCATGTGGGGGCGATGCTTTTACATGTCCTAAAATCTGCTCGCTTTGCCAAGCATCTGAACTCCAGCCATCCATCAAGCCCTAGTTCAGATACCCAGCATCCCTGATCCATAACTCTCATGGCTAGATGTGTTTTGAAATTCTGAATTTTACAGTCGCTTTTGATTTCATCTGCTTTGTTTTGCCTGAAGGCATATGCGTGTGTCCGAGAGAGACAGAAAGTAGAAAACGAAGGAAAGCACCCCCTCAACACCACAATCCTCTGTCCTGCTGGGATTTGGTGCATGCTCACACACACGCCCAGCTCACACACAAGTCACCAGGCCAGGACTGGAACCAAGGCCGGTCACATGGGCTCCACCTCCCAGTGCACTTTGCTGGCCCAGATTTTTAAAAGACAATGAATGGGGCAACCCATTTTCCAGGACAGCTCCCTTATTTATTTATTTATTTATTGGAAGAGGCTTTTGCTATAGGGCACATGCGCTCGCCAGAAAGAGAGAGAGAGAGAAAGTGAGAAATCACCCCAGAGAGGGGATGGCCACGCCGCAATCTCTTCTCCTCCATTCTCCTCTCGGGATTTTGGGCACATACACACATGCACCTGGCGTGAGCTTAAGCCACTGGGTCCGGTACTCGAACCACAGTTGACTACATGGGAGTCCAATGACATAGCTATTACACCAACTGCTGGTCCCAGAACCACTCCCTTCTTGAGAGCTGGCTTTTTTCTTCTCTGTTCTTTAATAAACTCCTCGCCTTGCTATACCCTCTCTGTGTGTCCATATGTCTAGTTTTTCATGAGTGTGAGACAGGAACCCATGTCCCGCTATGAGGGGTGAGCTTGAACACCCCTGCAGCCCCGCATTCCTGGCCATATTTTGGTGCATTGCCCAGGAAACATCTAGACTCCCCTCCTCATCAGCAACTCAGGACGCTCTTGTCCCTAGAAACCATCTCCATCAGATGAAATTGCTTGGCATCAGGCAGTCATGTAGACACCTTTAGGGTGACTGCCAGTCCACAAGACTCCGATGTGAGGCTGGCCGGGAAACACTCAGTCTAGCCCTCAACATTAGCAAAGCGTTGAGAATAGTGGCTGTTCTGTGATTTGGTTTCCATTTCCGGAATCTTAGCCACCACAGGGAGGGTGAATGCTCCTGGCAATGGACGGTGCATGCCAGGATTACTCTCGGTGTGTCCCGAAGGCCCCGGGAATTTCAAGCCACCCCCATAACCCAGCTAGGTGATGGGGCAGATTCCTTTCTCCCCTTTCCTCCAGACTTTTTCTCTTATCTGCCAGCAAGGCAGTGATGCATATCTGGGAACTTGCCATGATGCACTAAGGAAGTTAAGCAGCTCTTTGTCTGCTCTCCCGGCCTCCAGGGTCCTGGATATGTCAGGTGGACTCCAGCTGTTGCATGGGAGAAACTGAATGTCTCTAAACAATTGAAAGCATCTCCCCAGACCCACTCCCTGGTTCTGAGGTTGAAAGTTCTTCCCACTGCTCAACTGAGTGTCAGAAAGAGTCCCCTGCCCTGTGCCTTCTACTCACAGACTCCTCTCTCTCTCTCTCTCTCTTTCTCTCCTTCACAGTTTCTCTAAAAATATCTGCTATTTAAAACTCTTACGGTGGTTCCTTCCTTATTTAGAAAATGTCTTCAAGCATCCAAATGTTAGTGATGCACTTTGTAAATTATAAACTTAGAGAGTTTATGCTATAAACTCCAAGTCGGATTCTATACATCAGACCTTGAGAGCGCTTAGGAACAAATCTGAGATGTACTTCTCACATCCCCTTCAATCCCCAATGATCCAACTACAGATAAATCCTGTCACAGCCAAATATCACTTTAGACAGATCTCAGAGGAGCTTTTCAGAAGGGGGCCCAATTTGGGGCCATCTCATTCCATTTTCTGTTGTCAGGACTGCCCTAGGCATTGAAATTATTAAAAAAAAAAAAACCTGGTGCCACTAGATCCAATATAAGAATGGATCGTAACCCACATAGATGGTCATTTAATTGAATGGTTTAATAAAAATGGGAGCTAAATTTTGCCCTTAAAGAATTCATGGCTCAAAGCTTCTGGACTAAGAATCTCCTGACTTTCAACCCACTCCAAAATTAGAATAATTAGAACCATCCAGCATCTCCCCCTCCCCACCGCAAGGGGAATGCTTGATGAGCCCCACCTGAAAACAATCCTGAACAAGGCTCCTGGGGACCAGCAGTTAGCCTAATGGCTATGTCGCTGAACTCCCACGTAGTCGACCGTGGTTCGAGTCCTGGACCCAGTGGCTTAAACTCACGCCAGGTGCGTGTGCATGCGTGCCCAGGAGAATGGAGAAGAAGGTACTGTGCCATGGCTATCCCCCCCGGGGGGTGATTTGTCACTTTCTGTCTCTCTGTCTGTCTAGCAAGCGAGCACACCCTATAGCGAAAACCTTTCCAAAAACAAACAAACAAACAAACAAACCAAAAAAAGAAAAAACAAGGCCCCTCGGACCCAGGGAAAAACCCCAGGCCCCAGTTCTCTTCGACAATCCATTTTCCGGGATCCCTCCCTTCTTCTTGGGAGCTCTGTCTTTTTACTTTCCTCTCTTTCAATAAATGTGTCTTGCAATACTCTCAAAAAAATTTAAAAATTAAAAATTAAAAAGACAGTGAATGCAGTCCATGAACCCAACATGAGGTAATATCTCCTCCCACCCGCCCCCCAGGGACTAGTATAACACTTTATTTTCATATATTGACATTTCTGCAGCCAAACCTTGATCTTCACAGTACGTGGAAAAACGAAAGATTGTCAATTACTTTGCATTAATTCAGTTCAGATTTTGCTGCCAAATGAATTTGGTGCCAAACAAAACCATTTTGTTTCCAGAGCCTTTTGGAGTTTAGAGTTGCACATAAGGGGCTGCGACCCTCTACAACCTCTCCAGGAAGCCTTCCTTGGTTTCCAAGTTCTTCCTTAAGCCCCTGTAACACTTAACCCCCTATCTTAGTGACGGCATTTCAATTAATCTAAGACTACATCCATTGAAAACACCCCATTATTTTATATACCACTTGGAATAAAAAAGTCACCCACTAAACGAAGATGACTGTAAGATGCAGCTGGGGCCGGATGGTTGTGCGGTGTGAAACGCAAGGGCGCTCTGCAAGACACCCACGGAAGGTTGGGGGTGGCGTCCAGAGACCTCCCTGAACACTGCAGGCCTGTCTGTGCCCATGATCTAGGGCTGGCTAAAGTGGGGGTGGCTTGTATCATTGAGGTCCTGTTGGGGTGCTGACTCACTTTGTCTCCCTCATTCACTCACTGACTTGGAGAAGAGATAAATAAATAGATGTTTTGTGTGTAGGGCAGGAGAGGTTTTTGCTATAGGGCACGTGTGCAGGGCTGGCTAAAGTGGGGGTGGCTTGTATCATTGAGGTCCTGTTGGGGTGCTGACTCACTTTGTCTCCCTCATTCACTCACTGACTTGGAGAAGAGATAAATAGATGTTTTATGTGTAGGGGAGGAGAGGTTTTTGCTATAGGGCATGTGCACTCACCAGAAAGACAGAGAGACAGAAAGTGAGAAATCACCCCCCAGGGGGATGGCCACACCGCAATCCCTTCTTCTCCTTTCTCCTCTTGGGATTTTGGGTACGCACGGACATGCACCCGGCATGAGTTTAAGTCACCAGGTCCGGGACTTGAACCACAGTCAACTAACTACATAGGAGTCCAGCAACATAGCCTTATAACAACTGCTGGTCCCTAAATAAATAGATCTTATGAACACAAAAATATGGGGCCGAACCACAGTGCAGTAATTTAACGTTATGTAGAGCGAATCCACATGCCCAACAGCAGTGCAAGTCTTGATCATGGACTCTGGAAACACAGCAAGTGCACGTGTGCATCCCCAGAATCCTGACAGCTTGGGGAAAGGGCGGAAAACTGATTGTGCTGGGGCCACACCCCGTAAGGGACTGCTTTCACTATTGCTCTCTGTCTCTCTCACTTTCTCGCTCTTTGGCAAACATACATGCTTTGTGAGAGTTAAAACAAATAATAATAAGTTGTTGGTTGGTTTTTTTTTTTTTTTTTAAGCCACATTCTGCTTTCAAAAGTGATAGAATTTGTGCTTTGGTATTGATGAGTCTCAGCGTTCATGCCTGTGTCTTGCCTCTGAGGGCTCAAATCCCACCCCTGCTGTCCCAGCGGTGCGACCACAGGCTCCTCCCCTAACTTCCTGGCGTCTAATATAAAATGGGGATAATGTCAGTTCTGCCCACACTGGCTGTCAGTGGTCTCAACGAAACTATTAGAATGAATGAAACTTGCAAACGAGGGCCCTGGCGAGTGTGCATATTAAAGGGAAGACAACCGTGAGCCTGCACAGTCTCTGAAGGCTGGTCCATGAGCCTGCACAGTCTCTGAAGGCTGGTCCAGGTCTGCAGCATGCTTCCTCTTTGTCTCCTCCGCCAGCTCAGTGTGATAACACAGCAGATGTGCAGGCGACCACTGGTCATCCCTGTGGTTCTCTTTGAACCTCTTTACCACATCTGGGGAGTTCTTTATCACATGAGTCACGGGAGCAGAGCTGACCTCCCATGAGAGAAGCCGCAGTTGCAGGAAGTGTGTCCCCACCTCTCCACTCCGGGTCAGACTGCACGCACATGCCATTCATCAAGGGCCCAGAATTCAAAGGTACTGATGCCATGGAGCCCCGGGGACAGTGGTGGCTGCAGCAAATGGCGAGGACA